CACATTCCTACCATTTAATCTTCCATCCAAAGCCTAAATATTTGTGAAGTCATAGAGTATTTTGGTCAAAAGCAAGAACTTGAGGAAGACTTCAATGGAGCTTCAAGGCTAAGGTTCCCTTAGTTCCCAGAGGAGAATGAAGAATTGATGAATCATTTTGATCTTCAATTTGTGTAACATTTTTCTTTCTCTTAGTCTTTCTCCATGTACTTAACATTGTAAGACCATAATGATATTATTGGCTTGTAACCATAGTCTTGAGTTCATCAATCAGTATGGAGATTGATTTGTTGATGAATTGATTTGGATATGTGATTTGTATATTTTGGTCATTGATGAAAATTGCATAATCTTGTGTTTTCATTGATGTTCGTACCTTCCATATGCCTTATCATAACCTTGAGAGATGTGTGTTAGGTTTACATATGGTCAACTATAGTTTTAGGGGTCACATAGGCTCTTGACTGAATTACATCATTTTGATAATGATTTTCTTGAAAAAGATTATTTTGTGGTTTTAATAAATGACATGAGAAGAAAATTTAGAGCATTTGATGATTTGACAGTTAATATACTATAACTTTAAAGGTCATTATTCAATAAAATGATCAAAGCTACATGTTATGAAGCCAAAGGGCAATGAGCTTAAAAATGTATAAGGTAATTATAAAATGATCAAAGTCACATGTTGTGATATAAGAAAATGCATGGAAAAAGTTTTTGTGAGGGAAAGGAAAATAATGACAAGCCTAAAAGGTTATATTGATGTTTAAAATTAAAAGAATATGTGGTGTTCGCATCTAGAAGACTATATCTAAAAACCTATATAGTGTTTAATTGTTATTAGTATTTAAATTTATTGTCATTACTTTCATGAGTAATTATTATAATTTTTCAATATGAATTTAATGTTGAAATAGTTTTAAACAAAATGTTTATGCATCCTTGCAATATTTATGAAATTGCATTTATATTCTTATTTATATTATGAAGAATTGAATATGGAATAATTTATGAATGGCTTGTATTGAAATATGTTCATTCTTGGAGAATTATATAATTGATTAGTTCTTGCAGAACTAAGTGGTTAGAAAAAGATAAGTAATAAAAAATTAATTAATAGATTTATCTAAAGGAATTAATTAGTTAAGGATTTGAATACAATAACTCAATTAAAAATTAAAACCCATGGTTTTGTATGAGTTGAGTAGCACTTGAGTTTTTTTAATGAAAGGCAGGCTATTAGTCAACTATGTACCGGGCATTGTCTTCAAAATGAAATAATTAATATTGAAATTTTTGTTTATGTAACTCCTACTTTAGGGGAGATTATAGAGCATAAGTGTGAGTGCAATGAGTCTCACATTAGAGAACCTCACAAATTAGTTGAGGTTTATCAGTTTAAAAGGCTCTCCTGTTTAATAGACTAGTCTTTTAGAATAAGCACTTCCTTTGAACTTGTGCTTATTACATTGGTGCTTTCATTGAGAGGTCAATGTCACGAAAAGAGCTACCTACAGAGGGTTTTGACCGACAGGACATTGAGTGAATTGCCATAGAGTGGAGTAGCGAGGGATGTCAGCACTTAATGGGGTGGCATTGTAATGAGTCTCATATTTAGGTTAAGTAAGGTTTACAAGTTCAAGGAGCTCTCCCATTCAATAGACTAGTCTTTTGATATAAGTTTTCTCTTTAGGCTTGTGGTCATTACAGTGAGTTAATACGTGATTGAATATCACTTATATACTTACTCATAAAGTTCAATGGATCCCTCTAATGAATGTACTTTGATATTATAAATTAATTACATGTTATGAAAAATAAAAGTTTATAGTTTATTTTCGTTATGGTAAACTAGAAGTTTATTGATTCACCACACATATTGTTAGCATAACTTGTTTGATCATTCTAAATCATATATAATGCAAATGGTTATTAAGGATATATATTGACATCCATTGAAGAACTAGCAAATTCTTTGTGAATAGAAAATATGTTATGTACTTTAAGATTTTTATATATATTTATATATGCTACTTGTTCTCAATGAAAATATAAGATGTTCACTAGTTATGATTTAAAATGGATCTATCCATTTTTAAAAATATAACAAATTCAAATATATAGGCCATTACATAGCATGTGAATAGTAGAGATATTTAATAGATTCGATAGATGCATCTATAAGATTTTTTTACAACTTGAAGTTTGCAAGATTATATGTATAAATCATAATGTAAAGGCATACAATTTTCAGACTATGGTCTAGACAATTTCAATTGTAAATGCTTGTGAATTTATATCTTAGACTTTCAATGTATGATTATTAGAAGAATAGTTGAAAATCCTATTTAAAAGGTGATCTAGCAAATATCATTCATTAAAGCCCTCTCTAAAAATAGCTAGATCAATGTTTATGAGAACAAATTTTTTATTTTTTATTTAGAATATTTGATTTTACAAACTATAGCACAATACACATTAAGCTAACAAAGTGTTGTAAATTCTTTTTTTTCAAAATTGACTTTTGGTCAAGAGCCAAGTATATGCCATCTTAAAATTTTTGAATTTGCAGTGCTTATTATTATTGTTCCATCATGCTGCACAAAAATAGTTATTTGTGAAAAGTTGTGATAAATTTTAGATAAGAATCCCTCCTTTTTGTTTGTCTATAAATGAAACAAAAAAATGTTTCCAAAGGAAACAAATGGATTTAGGAGACTTATACTGCATGATTAGTTAATTGTCATCATTTAACAAGGTCTTCCCAAATAAAGGGAAGAAAATGAATAGCTGGAAAAGAAAATATATAAAATGCATTATCATTATATATTATTTAGATTCCCACATATAAAAAAATCAATAAGGAGTTCATCAAATATTATTGTTTACTAAATTTTCCAGATAGGTAGATACAATTACTAACTTGTATGAGAATTACTAAATTTCTTGTACTGACAAAAAGTGATTCAATCAAGGGTAGAGAGGGGGAACTAGTAGGGGCCATGGCCCCCCTAACTTTTTAATTATTTCTTAGTAAAATGTAGGGGTTATATATTTTTGACTCTCTTAAGTTAGCATATTATAAAAGTTATGAAATATTATATGGAATGCTCATTTTAATTCTATATGTAATATTTTACATATGTATAGAGCAACTATTTTAATAGTTTGAAGATATGTTTGTCATAGGATCTACTCATTTTTAACAAGATAATGCTATATATGCTTTTAAAGTATTGATGGCTTTTATTTTGCTTTCATTTTATATTTAATGAAAGAAATTGTGAGAATTATTAGTAACAAACATTGTTAAGTATTGTAACAAAAATTTCAAGATATATTGAATGATATATGCTTGATATCTATTGTAAAATTATTTATCCAAAAGTTAAGAGATTTGGTGAAGATGTTCTTCTACAAGAATTACTTTTTTTTAAAATAATCAAGCTATTTATGATATGAATGGTTTTTACTCTAATATAATTTGATCTCATTGACATAAAGATTTTATGATAATTGAGCATTATTAATGTGTTGAGATATTTATTTACTACAATTATCAATTGAAAAATTAAAAAGCAAATTCAATAAGCAAATAATATAGCTTATTATATTGAATAAAACTTTAAATTTTAATGATATATGTAAATCATTTAATGCTCACAGAGATGATAAAATTTTTACCAATTTGATGATAATTCTTATTGAGAAAAAATTGCTAAAATATTTATTGTAGACATAATAACTAATAATTTTTATACCGTGAAAAATTGATAAGCAAAACTTAATATATATATATATATATATATATTTATACATGTGTAAAATTAAATATAAATATATATGTTAAAATATTTATATTATGTCAATGATATGTGTGTGTGTGTGTGTATAACTTTTTTTAATTATCATATATGTTTTGTTACCTCGGCCCCTCCTTAATAAAAATTCCTGGCTCTGCCTCTGGATGCAATTAGAATAAATGAAAATAAATCATGCTTAAAGCATGAGAGATTAATTGGTCCCTACTAAAAAATCTTTATAAAAGAAGATCATATAATTAAGATAATCATATTAAGGAGGTAGACACTCCAAAAGAGAGTCATGACATAAAAAATTGTAAAATTCTAGAAAAGATTCAGGTACTTGAAAACAATAAATAGATCTAAATAAGATATATCACAAGTAAAAAAAATAAAACTAAAAAGATAAAGTTGTTGACAATAGTTTTAATGATAATATCATGCGATTAGATGGGGATCTTGTATGTGAATTTGTCATGAAAAGTAGACAAAAAGATGAGTGGCCAAACAGTAAAGGCAAAGGAAAATCAGCACTACAAGTATAATTATATTCATTTTCAATATGTGAAAATCATGGACATGCAGTCCAAACCTAAAGTGTAAAGTTACCGCGAGATACATGAACACTTATGTGAAAATAAAGATTTTCATAGAGGTCTAATGAAGATTGACTACATTATCTTATGGTGGATTTTGTATATACCATTAGTCTGGCAGCATATAAAATTGAAATATGATGTGCCTCTATTGAATATTATGTGCCTCTATTGAATATTATTATAGCCTATGGAAATTACTTATTACTATGTAATAAAATTTACATAATAATCTTTGAAGGAGTTCAAATGCCAAAAGCATAGAAAATATCAAAAAAATTATTCAACATATATACATGTGTAAGTTCTTAAGCTTGTATGAATTAAAATAGTTTAAATGTATGTATATATTGTCTTTGTAAATATGTATTGCAAATAGGCTTTGATCAAAATAATTTGAGAATAAAATTTTGATATTTATTTTTCATTCAACTTAAGTATTTAAAATGCAATGGTTATAAAATTATTATACTCTTTTGATCTTATTTATAAATCATTTCTACCAACCTCATCAATATCAATATACAAAAAGTAAAAGGAATAAAAACTTGTAAAATTTCAAACATGTTCCTATATAGCAACTCTAAAAGTGATATCATGTTACGTTTTCTCTCTCATAAAGGGTAATTTTAAAAATACTTTTCAAATGTTATCTAAAAAGTTGCACCATGATTTGTAAATAGGACTAAATAAATCTTTTAAAATGCATCTTATAAATGAGATTAGAGAGAGTACTATGTTTATTTTGTTTGTGATGCTATACTGAATTGATTAGTCTAGATTAGTCCTAAAGTTCTATATATATATTTATGAATATTTATACATCTGCCTAATATTATATAAGATATAGTTTTGTTAACAATTCTGAGAATGAACTAATAGATTTGGAAAAGACATATCATTATATGGGAAAAGTATTTTATCCTGAAGATATATTTTGAAGAGTTATATATAAGAAATTAGTATATTATCCTGAAATACATTAATTTAAAAGTGACTTTGTTATTGGGGGGAGTAAATATGCAATGCATTCTTTTTTCCTTAATCAAGATTTTGTTTCATTAGGTTTTTCTAATAAGATTTTTAATGAGGTAGTATTGGATAGCGTATAAATGAATGATGTTCTCTTTCTTTCTGTTAGGTTTTTGTTTTATTGGATTTTTCCTAGTTGAAATTTTTAATGAGATACATTTTTAAATATTGGACATTCAAGACAAGTGTTATAATTATAAATATAAATATTATGTGTGGATGTTCATTTCCTCATGCCATAATTAATTATAAGAATATTCATCTCCCCTTCACATTACTCAAAGGTTGTGGTTCATGAGATTCTTAAGCTTTATCTTCTCACATAGAGTTCATATCTTCTTTATGATATATTATTTATAATCAATTATTTAAACTTTTGAGTTGTAGGTATTTGTGTGTGTGTGTGTATATATATATAACATCTCATTTGTATTATTGGAAGTATGGAAGAGGATATAAGATTCATCTTCATTTCTATTGCTTTTATTCCTCCTTTCTTTTCATTTATATTATCTCTATTTTTTATTCAAAACATCATTGAAATTTTAATAATATAGGCTACATTTAGAGGCATATAAATAGAATTGCAATTTCTTAGATGGATAATATATAAAGTTATATAATTGTACATTTTGTGGCTTACTAAATAATAATTTAATAAATCATATATACAAACAAAAATATTATTATCATTAAAAAAATATTTTGCTAAATTTTGATTTTTAAATTAAAAAAGGAAAGCAAAAGCTTGATTACAAAATACAACTAAACAGCGTGAAAAAATAAGTCTTTGTCATTCATGACAGCAGAAGCACATTCAGGAAGAATAACATCACAACAAGAGATTAAAAAGGAGTTATAGTAGCATTTCGGACTAACATATCAGCAAATGCGATCTGTTCTCTATGAGAGTGATGAAGCTCAAAGTCAAGGAGAAAGATAAGAGATGATCGAATGTTTTGAATTATTGATCACAATATGTGATCAAGATTGTTGTCTCAAAATATGAGATTCATAGCTTTTAAGGAAGCAATAAACATGCGAACATATGAAAGTTGTTTTTAAAGGCAAATTTAAATACATGCTGCAATTGAGCGAAGTTCAGCTTTAGTACAGCTAAATT